TAAAACCATGTTTATGGAAGACAATCTTACTCGGCTACGAGTGATCACCTAAGAAAGAAAGAAGAAGAAATCTCTGTTTGGAGCTTAAAAGATTTTGAAGAAAAGAGTTGAAAAGTGAAGTTACTATTTCTAGATTGTATTCTTTTATTTGTTTGTAATCCAGATGTATGAAAAAGTGAGACTTTGCAAAATTAAAGCTGTCAAAGGGAAAGGAAAGATCAAGCTGTACGTATGACGGAGAGAGAACTTGGCAACTGGATTGCAAGATGGCAACGGGAGATGATTGGCTCTAATTTTTTGCAGTGGAGCAAATGCCAGATGTTTTCCCCACTTTGATCTTAATAACACTTTAGGCTGCAGACAATAAGATTGGTTTAAAATTTATTGTCTCTTTGATTTCTACATTCTAATGCTTTTAAAGGCCTTTACAAAAGACAGATTTCTAAATATTGGCAACTGAGGTGGCATCAAAAGTGTCAAATCATTAAGCCCCCTCACAAAAAGGTCGTGATTAGAACCCCATTTATGTTTCCACGCATTATTAGTAAATGAGTTCTTGTGCAGGCAATCATCAATTTTCTTCATATAATAAAAAGACCTATTGTGTGGCATATGAAGATACTTGCAGCATCTGTAGCCCAGCTTCTTATAAACCTTTCATCTTGCATTAAGATCATTGGAGGTTATAACAGTATATTAAAATAATAGTAAGGGACAGGAGTTGAAAGATGTATTAAATGATTCACTTTATTTGGAAAAATCAGCTGCTGTAGAACTTTTATCCACATGGTAACAAATTATTTAAATATCTCTGGGATTTTATCATTGCTATAACCAATGCACACTCACAATTTCCATTTACCCATGTTGAATGAATGCCATGAGATGTAGAAAAGTGTTGTGTATTCTGCAAGAAATTCATTAACAGCAGTGATCTGGAAGCCCAGTTGCAATACATGGAAGTGTCAGAGACTAAATCACACTTATGAGAGTTTCATGTGCAAACACTTCCCTAAGCAGTATGGGAATTTCTTGTAAGTGTCATCCTCAATATGACCTTAACAGATTGGAGAAATGGGCCCAAGCCAACAAAATGAATTTCAATAGGGACAGATGAAAGGTTCAACACTTAGGTAGAAATAATCAGATGCACAAATATAGGTTGGGGTTCACTTGGCTTAACAGCTCAAAAGGCTCTAGTAGACCACAAGTTTAACAGTGTGTTGTAGCAACAAAAAAGCTAATGCAATTCTAGGCTGCATCAAGAGAAGAATGGTGTTCAGATCAAAGAGAGCAATAATAGCAAGCTTGTTTTCTGCTGCCCAAGAGTGTAGGACCCAAACCAATAGATTCTAATTGCAAGAAAGGAGATTCCAACTAAACATTAGGAAGAACTTTCTGATGGTGAGCTACTTGACAATGAAATGGACTACCTTGGAAGGTTAAACAGTTTGGATGGCCATCTGTCAGGTATTATTTAGCTGTGATTTGTGAATTGCAAAGGATTGAACTAGATGACCCTTGTGACCCAATTCTGTGATTCTATGATCCCATGCTTGAAAAAACATAGTTCATTATTTCTCCCTTATTTGTAAAACTGTGACTTCATTGAATCCATCCCCATGGATAACTACTACTCTCTAGACCAGGGGTGTCAAACTCAAATTCATCGGGGGCTGCATCAGCAGTCTGGTCACCCTCAAAGGGCCGGTTGTATCTGTAGGACTATGTAAAGGACATGTAAAATGGAGGTTTCCTGTGTAGAACGGCCGGCGCCGCTAGAGGGCAGATGTTCTCTGGCTTGTAGGCTGCTGCGCATGCGCTGAAGAGGCGGCTTTCTTGTGTCCAAAAAAAAAAAAAAAAGCGAGAATAAAAGGTGAAGGCTGGTGGCCGGTGGCGGCTACACGGGCCACATGACAAGGTCTGGCGGGCCGGATTCGGCCCGCGGACCTTGTGTTTGACACCCGTGCTCTAGACAGTGGATTATTTCCATGCAAACATGGAACACTATCAGGACTGGCCCAACAGTTTTGGTGCCTGAGATAAAGTAAAAGATTCCCCCCCCCCCCCAATTCTATATACAGAAGCTGACTGGACTAGCAGGTGAATTTCACTTTAATCCTGGCAATGGAATGGTGTATTCCATCCCATCTGAATGCAGAAAACTGGCTTAAGAGTGTTCATTGCAGGTTGTGTGGCACACGTAGCTGTAGTGTCCAAAGCTACTCACTGCCTCAAAACATCTGGTGCCTCAGGAGACCATTTCGTCAAGACAGCAAACTCTAAAGTAATAAATAATAAAACCATCCATACAAACTCTAAAATCAATGAAACAATTTACAGTGGTACCTCGGGTTAAGTACTTAATTCGTTCCGGAGGTCCGTACTTAACCTGAAACTGTTCTTAACCTGAAGCACCAATTTTAGCTAATGGGGCCTCCTGCTGCTGTTGCGCCGCCAGAGCATGATTTCTGTTCTCATCCTGAAGCAAAGTTCTTAACCTGAAGCACTATTTCTGGGTTAGCGGAGTCTGTAACCTGAAGCGTATGTAACCTGAAGCTTATGTAACCCGAGGTACCACTGTAATTAAATATAAAAGTTATCTTCCATAAATGACTGGGTTAGAACTTTCAGTGAAAGCCTTCCTAAACAAACATGTCTACTTTAGGTGCCTAAACATAATCACACTAGGTTTCTTTCTGGTTTCAGCTGGTAACTGTTTCAAGAGGTTTCCAGCAACTGGTATTCAGAAGATTAAGGGAAAACATATCAGCAGTCTTCAAGTATCTGAAGGGCTATCATGCAGAAGATGGACCAGACTTGTTCTCTGTTGCTCCAAAAGGCTCAACTTAATTGATCGGGTGGAAATTGCAGGGAAACAGATTTCAGGTCGACATTTACTAAAAACTCCTTGACAGTAAAAGCTGCTCAGCAGGGGAACCGTGTCCTTTGTTGGAGGCATTTTTGCAGAGGTGGACAGCTATCCACCAGAGATTTGGGTGTTGCAGATTCTGAACTGAGCACGATGCGAGATTAGGTTACCTGCGAGGTCACTTGATCCCTGTGCTTCTATTAATATAATAGATAAAATAGTGTATATGATACAGAAATTAAAGAGCCTGAAAAGAAGTCATGCCACTAATGACATGCTACTGTTAGAATTAAGAAGACAACCAGGCCCACACCATGAACAGTACACAGGACAGAAGTAGGAACAGTAGTCAGACCCAAACTTACAAGGCCTCTATGCACAACATCCTTCTCTAAAGCTGGGAGTCAGAAATACGTGTATATTTGATTCGAATGGTTTCCTGCCCGATCCCTGCTGTGTACCTGGCTACCTGGGGCTCCCATCACACTGTGGTCCATTGGGCTGACCCTGGAAGGAAGTGCAATTGAAGTTTAAACAAGGACATGTTGTGGGGGAGAACTTCAGCCAACTGAAACCCAGAGTGCCTCTTTCCCTTTCGGTTAGAACTGGATGTGGCTCCCTGAGGCAAAAGGTCAGCACGTCCGTCACGCATAGGCGAGACCGTCTGCTCTTCTCAGTTGGAGAGGGATGTTATTTTCTTAAGAAGCAGGATGTTATTCCTAGAGGTCTGCCACTTGGCGAGGTCAACAGTAATATTTTATGCCTAATGTTTATGATTAATTTTGGCTGTGGCCTTTCCTTTCAGCATTTGTATGGTGTCAACCTGAGCTGGCGAGGGTCAGAACTTGACAAGGTTATGGCGTGAACCATACATTTGCTTTTCTTCCCCAAACAAATACTAGAATAACAATGCACATGGGAACTGGGAAACACATGGTTAACTCATACCATAAGATCTACACACTCAAGAAACTAGAGTACAATCCAGGAATCTATCTTTCTTTCTTTCTTTCTTTCTTTCTTTCTTTCTTTCTTTCATCTATTTTCAACTAAATGGAATCTTGTTAACCACAACTATAGTTGTAACCAAATGCCAAAATGTTGGGGTATTTATTTATTTTTGCCTTCTTTCTCAAAAAAGCTTTGATGACTGATTGTAGAGAACTTGACATTATATTCAACTTGCTAAGGTGTGGTTTGTAATGTCAGAGGATTTGGGCTCCACAGCAAAAGCAACATTACTATTCACCCTTACTTAGGAGTAAACTCAGTGGAACTTTCTTCAGAGTAAATGAGCATGGCATTAGATGATATAAAAGACAAGGTAGATTAGAACCCAAACTTTCAGAAAGAAGCTGCTCTTGCAATGATGAAAGCAGAATGATTGTGAAGATTCTAGCTTACTTCTCAAAATAAGATGTAGAAAATTTCAAGCATAGCAACAGCATCGGACCATGCTTGGAATTATACATAGTAGTTTCTGCAAAAGGGTAAATTTTGGCCATAGCCATGGGACTGCCCCTATATAGACCTGTAAATTAACTTAAATCATCTGGGGGAGATTCTCCTTGTGGCGCCGAACCCTACAGTATATAATAAATCTGTAACCTGAAAACAGGCATTTTCTGTGGTTGTTGCTAATTTCATTCTATACCACTTTATTTTTTTAAAGAAAAAAGTTCAAAGTGGTTTACAACAATTAAAATGTTAAATAAAACAATCCAGAATAAAATGTTCCTGAAGAAAGTCAGATATAAAGTGTACATTCAATTTAATAGGAAACGAAAATATTATCTTAAAAGATTTCAAAACAAAACATTACAATGGAAATAAACTACAGGATGCACATCTAATGCAGCAAAGTTAAATAAAATCTTAAACATTTCAAAAGAACACATTACTAAAGGAAGTCAAATATAAAATACACATTTAAAACAGCACAATTAGCAAGAGATTAAGATACAGTGGTGCCCCGCAAGACGAACGCCTCGCAAGACGAAAAACCCGCTAGACGAAAGGGTTTTCCGTTTTGGAGGCGCTTCGCAAAACGAATTTCCCTATGGGCTTGCTTCGCAAGACGAAAGCCCATAGGGAAATCTCCGATCCGCGAAGCCTGGGCGCGCTGATCTCAGCGCGCGCAGGCTTCGGCATGCCGGCAACTCTCCGCGAGCAGCGGCAGCGCTGCCGCTGCTCGCGGAGAGGTCCGCGAGCCTGGGCGCGCTGATCTCAGCGCGCGCAGGCTTCGGCATGCCGGCAACTCTCCGCGAGCAGCGCCAGCGCTGCCGCTGCTCGCGGAGAGGTCCGCGAAGCCTGGGCGCGCTGATCTCAGCGCGCGCAGGCTTCGGCATGCCGGCAACTCTCCGCGAGCAGCGGCAGCGCTGCCGCTGCTCGCGGAGAGGTCCGCGAGCCTGGGCGCGCTGATCTCAGCGCGCGCAGGCTTCGGCATGCCGGCAACTCTCCGCAAGCAGCGGCAGTGCTGCCGCTGCTTGCGGAGAGGTCCGCGAAGCCTTGGCTGGACAGCTTTTGAAGGCAGGTGGGGGGACAAGACTTTCGCCCCCGCCAGCCTTCAGAAGAGGTCCAGGACCTCTTCTGAAGGCTGGCGGGGGCAAAAGTCTTTGTCCCCCTGCCTGCCTTCCCAGGGGCTTTAAATTGCCCCGGACAGCGGAGAAGTCCTCCGCTGTCCCGGGGCAATTTTAAATGCCGCCCGCCAGCATTTTAAGATCGCCCCGGACAGCGGAGAAGCCCTCCGCTGTCCCGGGTTTTAAAATGCTGGGGGTGGGAAGAAAAGCCCTTGTCCCCCCAGCCTTCAGAAGAGGTCGGGGGACAGACTGTCCCGGACCTGGTCTGAAGTCGGTTTCCCTAGGAACGCATTAATTGATTTTCAATGCATTCCTATGGGAAACCGTGCATCGCAAGACGAAAAACTCGCAAGAAGAAAAAACTTGCGGAACGAATTAATTTCGTCTTGCGAGGCACCACTGTATTATCATAGGCATACAATGTATCTGCTGCTGTTGCTGCCAATCTTGCCCATGGTAGTTCATCATGGGCGGCAGCTGTGGAAGCGCAGGGTTGATGACTAAGAGATAGTCAAGGTGTTCTCTGGCCTCCACAGCAGCCTCAGCTGTTGTAGTTGGAGTCAGTCAGGGCCCTCCTCTCCCAGGCCAGGTGTCAAAAGCATGCAAGACACAGAACAGGTCTTCCAGGACTCACAGCCAAGACAGTCACAAGAAGATTATTGCCCTGTTCTATGGAATGTCCTTCTTTCTGCCATGGGGGAAGGAAGATTCAGACTTCTTATAAAGACTTACCTTTTTTGACAAGACTTTTCTTGGCTCACAAGATTGGAGCCCGATATATGTGAATGAATTCCTCCTAAGTTTTATTTGCTTTCATATTTTTGCACTTTTAAAAATTGATTTTAGGCTCTATTTTTGTTTGAATGGATATTGTTTCGTATAGTACACAGAGTACACCATTTAGAGATTTTTAAACTATTAAGCAATTTAGAACGGATTTGAAATGGATGAATGAATAAAAATTGGGAAGCAGAAATATGTAGCAACGGAAACACTACTCTGAAACAAAAGGAACAAGTTTTGTTTTCGGGGGGAGGGAAGGCTAATCAAAGCACACTTATGTTCTTCCATGTGTAGCCTCATTCATGCCACCACAGTTCAAGGCACTTTGAAAAATAAGTACAGTGGTACCTCGGGTTACATACGCTTCAGGTTACAGACTCCGCTAACCCAGAAATAGTACCTCAGGTTAAGAACTTTGCTTCAGGATGAGAACAGAAATCGTGCTCCAGCGGCGCAGCAGCAGGAGGAGGCTCCATTAGCTAAAGTGGTGCTTCAGGTTAAGAACAGTTTCAGGTTAAGTACGGACCTCCGGAACGAATTAAGTACTTAACCCGAGGTACCACTGTAATGATGATTTTACAGTGGTGCCTCGCAAGACGAAATTAATCCGTTCCGCGAGTCTCTTCGTCTTGCGGTTTTTTCGTCTTGCGAAGCACGGCTATTAGCGGCTTAGCGGCTATTAACGGCTTAGCGGCTTTAAGAAAAAGGAAACAAACTCGCAAGACGTTTCGTCTTGCGAAGCAAGCCCATAGGGAAATTCGTCTTGCGGAACGACTCAAAAAACGGAAAACTCTTTCGTCTTGCGCGTTTTTCGTCTTGTGAGGCATTCGTCTTGCGAGGCACCACTGTATTTTTAATCTACAATATACTTTGGAAACTTGCTCAGAAAGTTGTTGCAATGTGTTTGGACCCCTCTTACAAAACCTATAACCAAATTGTGCATGATGGTTCCCGAGATGAAGAAGCAGGGTTCAACTTATATTTGGATATAATTGGATGCCATTTTGAATCAAGATGGCAGGCTGACCCTTTCAAAATGGCACTGACTTTTTTGGTTTCCTGGAATTCCTGAGCAAGACTGGGTATGAGGCTTCTAGTGGTATATTTTCCTTAGAAAGAAGGATGCAAGTCAGGTGAAACAGGTGGGGGTTTTTTTGTTTTTGTTTTTTTACCATTACAGGTACCTAGTTCTCATTAGCCACAGGTGGGCAACCTGTGGCTTTGAGGCTACATATGGCCCTCAGGTTTTGTTTCCCCAAAGTCCTCTGCTGGTGATTAGTTAAAATATCTAGCAAAAGTGACCTGTGTCTCTTCAGCAGCTCAATGGGTGGAGGAAAGTGGGAGACAGGGAGAAAACGAGAGAAGGGGGAGCCAGAAAGACAGAAATGAAAGGGATGGTTCTTCTTGCCTTTGGCTCTTCTTCTTCCCATCACAGTCATACATGACCCAATCACTTACCCTCAAGGGTTACATAAAACTTAAAACAGTTGCAGACAACAAAACCAACACACTTTAAAATTCCTATTTGATTTTTAATGTATGAACTGGTAGAACAGGAATTAGAATAGCATGTTTCGAAAAGTATTCTGTTGATCAGGTGATCTTTTGGTGGTTATAAAGCTATGGCGGACAGGATCAAGAAGTGTGTAACAACATACAGGTTTGCAACAAATGAAAAGTAGATCAGCCATTTATGAAACACCTTCAAATGTTTATCTTGTAATATATATCTATATCTATATCTATATCTCCGTGGAGTCAAAATACATCATTCTTGTTTTTAAATAAATAAAAGTTTCCACTGCATCAGGGTTAGTAAAACATAGTCTGAAGCTAGAGATTTAGCATATAAAAATACAGAGCAATAATACGGAAAATATATTCTATTATTTACATGCAATGGTCCCATATCTCTTTCTTTGAAAAATAAAAGCATTTTTACAAATTTAACTTATCTTGAAATTTCCAGTAAAATTAGATTTTTAAATACTCAACGGGAACATACCATACATAATTGTAAAGAAAAACTTAGCATAATCCATTCAGCTTCTTTTTAACAACTGGGAACTTCCCTGAAAGGAAGAAAAGCATTGCTATTCTGCATATCCCCCCCTCTATATCTACATCCATGCAACAAGCATTTCCTCAGCACCATGTCTGGCAATGCTATTCTGGTAAAAGAGCAGTACTTCCTAGATACTTATTGATGGGGCAGCTTGCCTTATTAGTGTCACTTCCAGGGAGAGTTCCCATTTCCACCCCACTCACCACCTTCTCATTGGTCTTATATGTATTTTATACATACTACTGTTTCTTTAAGAATATTAATCCTTAGTATCTTTATACTAAGCCCCCTGACCCAGTGCCTCAAAACAGCTAATAAATCTTACCTCTATAATCACTGCAACAGCCTTACTAGGTTGGGCAAGTATTATCATCACCACCCTAGATGGCAGAATCATAGAATCATGGAATTGTAGAGTTGGAAGGAACCAGAGTGGGTAAGGTAATAAGGTGCAAACAGGCTAGGACCACGAGACTCCAGATAACCTAAAACTTCCCAGTAAATTTATGATTAAGACCAGTGGTATTTTTCTAGAAAATGAGGTGCCAGAACTCACCATGAATATCTCCCTAGTTCTCTTATAATGGCAATGGTGCTCATCTGAGAGGTGCTAGAACCAAGTTCCGGTTGAAGCCCTGATTCGGACGAAATTTGAGCCACTAAGTTATTGCCATGCTCTTAACTACTACACAACCCCTGCTGTATTTAGAGGACAAGACATTCGAGCATTTCAGTTTCTTCATGCTTAAAATCTTTATATGCACTGGAAATCTTTATATCAACAGCACTGTCAAGTCTCAGATGTTGCTGCAAGCTCAGGAATTTATTTCATATCACACAAGTGCCTGCTCCTTATGCAATAGTCTGGATTGCATCATTACACAAGGATTGCTGACTTGCCTCTGAAATCTCGGGAACAGGCCCCAGAAGACTGGTTCACATGGAATGAAGCTTTACGGAATGGCATTGATTTGAACTTCAAATCTTTCAAAGCTGTGTTCGATTAACCAACTCAGGCCCAACCTAGACATGGCACACAATTGAATGCAACTCTCTCCCTTTTCTCCCTCTACCAAGGCAGTCCCAGGAGCCTGTGAGTTTAGTGTTGGTGATAGGAAATGCCAAGGAAGAGGCTGCTTAACCCTTTTCTGTCTGGCCACTCCTCCCCAATTCATCTAAGATTCCTAATGCAAATGCACATTCAGATATACACCAAGCCTCAGTTGATGCTACAGCTGCAAAGTAATGCATATGCATGTTCAAACCAGCGCTCAAAGTCTGTCACTCTAGGTGTACCTAGGTGTCCCTTGCACCCTTAGCAAGGAGCTTTATTGATCTGTGCCCCCCCAAATCCCACTTCTCCTGTTGGGGTCCCTTGCGCCCTTGGCAAGGACCTGTACCAGCACTCCTCCCCCCAAATCACTTTCCCCACATTTGATCTTGTCACAACAGTGATGGCACATCTAAGTCACACACTCCATAGTCTCTAGTGGTCTACCTTCATACCGTCTTGCCATTTCTCCTACTGCTCAATTTCCAGCTCTTGCCTAAACTCATGACATTACACAGATAACTGGAGACTGATTTCTGGGGTGATTTTTGTGCCCCTTCCCTCAGACCTGTGCTCCCAGTAGAGCTGGCTTTGCCAACTCCTAGGCACTCCTCTGTTTTAGCTGCCCCGCCACGGCTAATGTGAGAAATCCAGCACTTGGCCCCGTTTTGCCTTTGTTATAAGAAATATTGTGACTTTTGACTCCTGGACCGCTTGTGGCGCAGAAGTGGATTGGGGTAAACCTTTCCCAAGCTGCATTAAATGTTGTGCCAAGGCAGTATAGTTGTGCCAAGACAACAGCAGGGGTTTGCTGCTGGTAGAATAGCACCAATGCTTGTTATTGTGCTGGCAGTGGGGCTAGGGTCAAACATCATGCCCTTGCATTCTCATGGGATTCTCATACCCAAGTCCTATGTGCGCCTTTGTCAGCATATTGACTCATGGAACTGGGTCATAGGGGAGACACACTAGCTTCCACCCTCAATTTCAGGATGAATTTCCTTTTTAACCCATGCCCTATGAGATCAGCTGCGTGCTTAATAATATTTGTTGACTGGCCGGTTGGAAATATCCATGTTTTCCTGACCTTGCTACAGTCTCTGTGGTTTCTGTAACATGCAAATTGGGAAGAGTTGTTTATGATGTTTATTTATTCAAGCACAGAGGAATGTTTTTATTGCATACCAAACAAGGAGGTGATGTAATGCAGCTGAACATCTTGATCTAACTTTCATTGAGGAAAAAATCCATTTGCATTCACTAACAAATTACTACCAAATTGCAAAAAGACCTGATAAAAGCTTTCGTGATAGATTCTAAAAACATTTTATCCATGATTGACACTAACACCTCAAGAGTTCAACTACAAGTGAGATGCGTCACTGAAATATGAGAGGCCCTTCTTTGTTTCCTGCCAGGGGTGGAGATATAGATGATGACAAGAGATAGGGCCTTTTCAGTGACTGCACTGATAATGTGGAATATTTTGACCCACAAAGGAATACACTTAAGTTCTTGTCAGAATGGTTAGAAATGGAAGAGGAACTAAGACGACTTCAAAATTCTATTTATATTTGTTTATCTAGTGCCATCTATGTACATGGCACTTTTCAAATGATGACAGATCCCTGCCCTGAGCGGCTTACAATCTAGAAATCAACACAACAGAGGAAAGGAAGAGAAATGAAGGCAGGGATCAACAGTTATACACACTTGGCTTGGTCATACTAGATATGGGAATGAGGAGGTTATGTGAAAGGCTTCATGGAAAATACAGATTTTGAGAATGGATTTGAAGGAAGAACAAGACATTGGAACCACAGAGGCATTATAGGAGGAAGAGGGAAAAGGGGAAAAGGACAAAATCATTTGAGGGAAGAGGAAGCCTTGGGAAAGGTGACGGTGCTAGAGCTCGATAAGAAAAGATCACCATCAGAGATACTGTAGAACTGGAGGAGTCAAGTAGAGATGGCAGGAGGATGTCTTACCCAGACCCAGAAAGAGCAGTCTGCACACAGACCAGCTATAGATACCCCCCCCCCCAAGGGTACCAATTATCACATCCAAAACTGGAGGTTCCTCACATCCAAAACATAGTTCCTCAATGTGTTATCTTATCCAGAGTTCTTTGCAGAAGGAACCAAAAGTGTTGCAGAAGGTGGTGGACAACCTTGTATTGTCCCTGGATCAGTGACATGGTCTGGAGACAAAGGAGGCTTAAACCAATTGCAAAATGCTTCCAATAGACATTGAACACAGACAGAGGGCTTCCCATAAACCAGACTTTGCAGATATTGAACTTTGTTGTGTCCGTATAGCAGTATGATACAAAAGGATACCTTCAAGTCCTAAATTTAACTTACATTTTTACTCGTTCAGAAGGTACAATTATTGGGCACAATCTGGCAACAACATTCATCATAAAGTGTGCTTAAGTTCAAGTGATTTAAATGGGGGAGATTTAAACATGTGGTTTCTCCTACTGAAATAATAATAATAATAATAATAATAATAATTTATTATTTATACCCCGCCCATCTGGCTGAGTTTCCCCAGCCACTCTGGGCGACTTCCAATCAAGTGTTAAAAACAGTACAGCATTAAGTTGGACTTTCAATTTTTGTGACACAACAAACTGATATTTTGCATTTCCTATCACTTCAAGAAAGCCAACAAGAAAAATGACAACACTAAAAGTCGATTAGCAGAGTTCAGTTAGTAGACTTCACTAGTCTAGACCATCATCTTTAGGAACAGATATAACTATCCTCCTTACCAAAGAGGTATTTGCATTTTCTTCTATACGGGAAAATTAGTGAGGTCACAAACTGAAACACACATCAGTGCCAGTATATAGTCTGAAGGCACACAAGACCAACACCCTTCTGAAGTTAGGCAGTTCTGGGTCTAGTTAAAGCTTGAATGGCATGTACACTGTCTTAGGTTCCATGATGGGAAGAAAGATGAGATATACATGTACAAAAAGCTAATTAATTAATTAATACAATACTATGGAGTAACCCCACCTCCCCAAATTGTGAGTCAACCTCTATATGATTGTGCTGCCAGTCATATTTGATACATTACCTGCGAAAACTTGCCAAAGGCTTATAAGCTAGTGAAGCTGTTTACCTAAGTAAGATGTGTACGCATTATGCAAAACTGGATCCTCTAACAACAAACTTCAGATACCATGTTCTCTGTTTCTGATGAACCGTCTAAGATGACAGAGGTATGAAAGGCATTTAATCAGATATCTCTGCAAAAAAGAGAAAGCATGTAATTGCTTATGATCTCATATGTGGTAGTAACTGAAGAGGGAAAAGGTAATGTATTTCTACATTGTGAAATAACTTTGCATATTTGGCATTCTCTTCTCTAGCTGGTTTAGCATTGTGGTTTGGAGTTATTTGCATTTTTTTTCTAAACTAAAAAACTGAAGTGGTTGTTAAGACATTTTTCTTGCATAAAGAACTGTTTGTAGAGTAAGAAGTTTGAAGACTTAAGACGTGTGAATTAAAAATACCACTCAAAAGAAAACCTAGCTTGATCTGCTTCATATGAAACCTTAAACCTATAAAGCTCTTCAATGCAGCATCGTGAAGCCTTTGGGAAACAGAATGATTTTGTGTGGAACTATTTCTCTGATTTTGGTTCTGTGTTCTGCGTGGGAGACTATTCCCATCCTAGACAGTTCAAATTTGTCTTACTCAGAATGAATGCCAACATTATTCTCAACACACTAGAAGATTCCAGCACTACTTAGAGGCCCAACAGAGGACTTCTGAATGGGAAAACCAGAGCAGCCAGGCCAACAGAAACAATTATTTCTGCTTTCTTGCCTAGCAAGAAATTGAAGATGGGTAACTATTTTATGAAGGGATTGTAAGTACCCATGTCTGTCACATCAAATGGGAAAATATACTGAAAGAAAATTTATATTACATATTCTTTGGAAGGTTTCAATGTCTGAGAAAAACAAAAGTGTTATATGACCAAACTGTGATTCTAGTGATTTATTTTTTTTAGAATAAAGAGGGAAAGTGTCTACAGCTTTCATAAGAAAGCAACCCTCAATGATGAGATTTAATTTCCAAATGTAGCAAGAGACAAAAACTGAAAAATAACAGCTACAAGGAACTCTAGCATGGAAACAGGGGAGAGATGCACTTATAGCAAAAGCAATGCAAGACTAGGTTCTTCTGGTATGGCGAATTGCTTTGGGATAAAAAAAATGTTGGATGCAGCCACTCACTAAACCTGTTCATCAAAGAGTTCAAGTTTTCAAGCTAACTCTGCAATACTTCATTGTTCAGCTTAGTAGAAACAATACATATTATCATTTATTTGTTTGTTGTTAGCCGCCCTGAGCCTGGCTTTGGCTGGGGAGGGCGGGATATAAATAAAATTTATTATTATTTATTATTATTATTATTATTATTCTTAAGTCTTTATGAATCAGAATGGAAAGGCAGCTTTTTCTCCATTATACATATGGCATACAGTAATCCATTAAAATATTCTTCTGCTTCTACTTAACAGTTACACAGTGCTGTCAGAATGGTAGGTACAAGTGGCCTAATCTTAAAATAATAATCAACAAGGACACCTTCAAGGCAGTACTTTTTTCTGGGGTAAACATTTTGTGAATCTAAGTTTGGCCTCACTGAGAGGCAGAATTTCAATATGAGTAGGAAAATGAGAGTAGCCCTAAACATTTTTTTTTTAAGAAAAAAAGCACTGAGTCAAGGTATTCCTCTTTGTAAATATTCTTACACTTTGCATGAGTTCTGAATTGGGTATATTTCTATTCTACTTGATTAAGGGGTTTTGTGTGAGCTGAAAGTTTGCATGATCTTTCAACAATATAAACTGTCTCGTTTTCCAAAACAACAGTTGTGCCAATTTGTGTTAGGCAGAAGAAAAACATTATTCTGGCAGGCACTTGATGACATAATACACCAGCTAAATAAAATTCACATCACTGAATATTATGCTGTGGATGTTGCTGGTTCAATGCATCCATGTAGCTTGGCACACGTTAAAATGGCTGTATGAGTGCCTCACCACATATCCAGCATGCAGTTCAACTCAGTTACCACATCTTTCATATAGCTTCCAAAAACAGATTGAGCAGTGATGTGGTGAATGTGGATGGAACTATTATATGACTGAGTAGTGAATTAAATAACTGTTTTCGCTGTGCGCTGAACACTTAGCTCACATTCTCAACACACTAGTTTACTGTGGGAATGGCCCTGAATTTCAAGGTGTCATAGCATTTTAAATATCTTTATCAATTTTGCATCAGGGAGTAGAATACAAAGATTAATTCCCCCCCCAGTTTGCAGCAGGATAGTTAAGTATTAGGAAACAAAAATGCAGGGCATGAGTTGGGACCAATTGTTTACGTTCCATTTGGATCCATTTCCAGTGCTACTGTAAGTAAACTTTAAATAAACAAAACAATCCAGAAATGGCTCTGAATAACTGTGAGATGCTAATGGGCTTAGGACAAAAGATTCTTCTCAGACTAAACAGTACTATCAGAACTCGCCAAACAAGAGGGGTGACTGTTATAACAATACTGTAAAAGGAGTTCTGCTAACAGCAACACAGTGGAAATGTATTAATGTACATTCCATACAGCTTTGGCCCAGAGATGTGCAATTTCCCACTGATGGTTCCCACATTCAGTCTCAAATTGGACACCACAAGAAGACTATCTTAGACTACTCAAGTCCAATGAAGCTGGGAGTCACATTACGGGTCCCCTGACACCCACCCACTCGCCCCACAATCCGTAGCAATGACTACAACAGCGTTTCTCAAAATGGGAGGAAATGTGCGGGGTTTCCAGCAAGAGATTACAATTTTGCACGCTGTATTGGCAGTAAGATTTTAAAACCATCAAGGCTAAGGACTTATTTAGCACAAAACTGGCAATTTCACTGGGTACCATTTTGGGCTTTTAACTGCATCCCACTTTAATCATCATATATTAAGAAAACCAGAGGAGATTCAGATAGAGATGAGAGCAACAGTGAAGAGGAAAGATTTGAAAGGAAAACCTGAGGCAATTTCTTATAGTTAACACATACTATAACCATATGCTGCTCCTATTACAAATGCAAAACTCCAGCCGGACAGCTGCCTTTAACTGTAGAATGGCACAAGTGTTTTCCTAGCCTTTGTGCAGGACAGCTGGCCCATCCAAATAGGTTTACATCTCTTAGCTCTCAGTCTAACCAACCTCACAGGGTTGCTCTGTGGATGAAATGAGGAGAAGGAGAGTGATATACGCCACCTTGAACTCCTTGAAGGAAAGGTGGGATATAAATGGAATAATAAGAGGGGCACAGGGAAATACATGTCTCCCTGTTGACAAGAACATTGCACTGCTAACTATCAAAAGTGGAAGGACAGCACCAATGCTCCAATCTAAGAGGCTGCTGTAGAGGCGACATTGGAGGGAGAAACCAAGGAGATGGCAGGCCCAGTCTTTAAGAAGTGTGCCACAGCCGTCATTGACACTGTGGCGGCGGCAGCAGAGTGCAATGTATTATTGGGAGGCTGGATCTGCTGCCCCTGTGGATCCTGCTGCCTGAGGCAGTCGCCTCATTTTGTCTCATGGGTGGGCTGGCCCTGAGTAAATGCATTTATTGACAGTGCTCACTGGTTGCCTTTCCAATAAAAACTGGCCAATACAATTAGTAGGATCTAAAGATTCTGTTTGCGGAGTTCCATACATCAAATGGGCAGGAGGTGAATGTCTTCAACTCACTCTTTCCCCTGAAAATCTGCTCTGGAGACTAGGAGCTGGGAGAGGGAGCAACGGAAACTGGCAAAAATCACCTCCCTGCTCCCTTCCATGGGTAGCAGCAGCAGCTTCTGGGTCTCCAGTCCTTCCATTCACAGAAGGGCTACCCTGGACCTAAGCCCTCTTACAAAATAGCAACATACCTAACGGTATTTGAAATATAAGTGATAATATAAGTGATATTTTTTTAATAAAAAAATCATACATATTTTACTCAGTAGTGCTTTCAAGAGATGAATCAAAAGTAATTTTTGATTATTTCGTTTTTGCTACTTCCCTCACAAGTTCTGGTATATTTAAACATTCATTGACTCAAGAGGTTTTACACCTCTATCACATTGCTTTTAACGTACCATTTCCAAATTCTATAAATATACTCTAAGATCACTATCAATATAAATTCAGACTCTCCAAAGTACAGTATAAAATGACAAATTAACCACGGCAAAGCAACTGTAATATTTCACATTATTATTACAGTGTAAAACCAGTGACTGGCTTACAAATAACCTGCTGTGTGCACAGAAGACACTTCTGCTCATGTGGGTGAAAGGGAATGTCACCCCCAACACTGCTCGGGGGGGGGGCGGTGTCCCATGACTCTCTGAAGTCTGTTTTCAAGAAGAATGAGAAACACTCTCTCTGTGTGAATTATGATCCTGCTTCCTGCAAGGACAGGGGCTTTTCTCTTGAGCAATGGGTGTTTTGCATCCAAGCAGATATAAGTTAAAATATCCCTAAGATATTCGAAACAAACTGTTCCATTCCATAAGCTTTGCAAAGTAAAAAATATAGGGTTTCCCCTCTCGTTTTCAAAATACAAACACATGCACTTTGCTGCACTGCTGTGATGCTAATCTCTTGATAACATTTTGCACTAAACATGGCTATCTATCATATATCCATGCCAGAAAGTATGGTAATTGCACTGAATGAAGTACTCTTTTACCACTGGATATTAGTTTGCACTTACCATAAACTACAGCGTTATTACTTTCCCCTTCTCCATTTTAAGGAAGCTAAGAGAACAGAGCCCTTTCCTACATCATTTGCAAGTCTAAGGCTGTGTTCACACCATGCCTTTAAGGGACGTTCCCCTTCCCCCAAGAATCCAGGGGAACTGAAGTTTCCCTTTCACAGAGCTACAGCAGCCTTAACAAACCATGGTTTCCATGGGGTTTTTTTGGGGGGGGGGAAGGGTGTGTACTTTCTATTTATGGTGCCTATGCAGCCTTAAACTTGCATCTGGCTTGAAGGAGTTTTGCCACCCGCATTCCACACTCACAGCCAACTAACATTACAGAGAGTGAAAACTTTCAACAATTCACCAAGCGGTAAACCTGCACACAATGACTTGGCAGCTATATGCATGCAGAGTCCTACCTGATATGGAGGAGAAAGTTTTCATTCCCCTGCTTCTTTGGATGAGGTGCAGAGGAGTGACAGGATTCTCCCCACCACTTGGCAGTACCAGCTTACTGAGTGGTTCCATGCACTTATTGAATGGTCATGGGCACTCATTCGCAGCCTAGTCCAGGCATAGGCAAACTCGGCCCTCCTGCTGTTTTGGGACTACAACTCCCATCATCCCTGGCCACTGGTCCTCTTAGCTAGGAATGATGGGAGTTGTAGTCCCCAAACATCTGGAGGGCTGAGTTTGCCTATAGCTGGCCTAGTGCCTCCAGCCACATTCTCCAAGCTTTCCTCTTAACAATGTGAGCCAGTGAAAGTAATTGCAGAGCACGAAGAGAGTTTTAAGTCTCTGCTTTCAAGTGGGCGAATTAAGCGTCTCTTAGAACACTTCAGCTGGAGTCAGGGGATTTAAAAGTGCTTTTGGATATCAATATTAGCTTGAGTGCCCACCTATCCCCAATACAGGCGTTTCCCAAGATCCAGCGGCTTACATCCCTTATTTCCTTCCCCTGCCCGCAACTTCCCTATGCATATAACTCAGTTCTTGCAACATCCTGTGGTAAACTACTGTCTACCAATCCACCAGTTCAGTCATGGGTAAATTTCACTCATTCATTTTCTGGAAAAAATGATAATACTTGCCAGTGGTAGTTGTGCCTTCATACTGCTAGCATGTGGCTTTTATGTTCTGCCAGTAGCATTAAAGATCTCAAGTCTTTTGTGAGTACTGACATTACACTGCTTGTGAAAGAATACGTCAATTAAGATCAATGTCAGTTGAATTAATTGTAGT